GGAATGTTCGGGGGAGCGCGGGGACGAGCCACCTTTGCTGCGGAGGCAAAAGGTTTAATTTCAGTTTCGTATTGAAAACCGCTGACGGTACTCGGTGAAATCACCGGCATGGGTTGCGCCTGCAGTTAGGCGTCGCTGACGTTACTTTTCGCATCGGTAAGAATTCGCGTTCTAGTGCAAAAGCGAGCTGCTGCGGCTGGCTGGAGGGCGAGGTGCGGGTCCTCGCGCGCTGGTTCGCGGGTGGGCGCTGAGCAGCCGAGTTGCTGCTGAGCGCTTGCTGGCGTCAAGCGACAGCTCTCGGGGGGAGAAACGGGCCGCGGAGAAACGGGTAGAGCAGGGCAGCCCACTAGGATTACAGAAGAGACTCGATTAACGGTGTTCTGCTCCGCCTGGTTTTCTTACCTGATCTTGAAAGATTAAAACCATTAAAAATAAACTGAAAACGGAGGCGAAGTTTTGAGTCAGGCTGTTTGGCAGCGTCCCCAGTTGGGTAGGTCCCTTTTGCACAGCCGAAATACACCATTGTCACAGGAAGAGGGTGACTCAATTTGAAATACAGTCTTACTGTTAAAAAACAGAGTATTTCACCTGGTTGTAGTCCTCAGTAGATTTGTCTAGTGGTACAGTCATTTCTTTCATTTTAGAAATGATTCTTTGTTGACAGATGTAAGGCTTTAGAAAGAAAAAGAGGAAATCAGACTAGCGGACTCAAAATGAAGGGAAAGTATAAAGCAGGCTGCGTAAAGCGACTTCAAGTGTAGGGTGCCTGTGTCCTCTGGGGTCATTTTTGCCTTACAGGTACCAAATAACTTTGATGGTTTGTGCTCCTTTGTTGTTTATATGCTAACTCTAGTGAAATATTATCTGTTAAAAAGGGGGTTCCATGGCAGGATAAGCTATAGGGAAGAGATTTTTGCTTTTGGTTTGCTTGTTGTAATTGAGGTAATTAGCCAACTTTTATTAGATCTAGATTTTTAAACACTTGCATTAATAATCTCATGTACAATTTAAACCAGAAAGTTCACAAGAGTGGAAAAGAATGATGTTTTTCTTGGTAGTTGTCTGGTAGTAAGTCCTGAAGCAAATACACTTCTCTCAGACAATTACCTATTTTTTTCTGGCATGTGATTGCAACCGTAAAAAAGAAATACATTATCTGCAGAGGATCAGCTGGAGCTCTTAAGTCCTTCACTTTCCTTGCCTTTTGTCTTTGTAATGTAAATTATCTCTAACTCAAGAGTATGATATCAGTCTTGGAGCTTAAGAGTAGAAATTCTTTAATGTCATGAGGCAGTCAGTCATGAGAGATGCACTCTAATACTGGTGTCTATGTGGCTGCTGTTGAATGCTGTTTCTACAGTACCTGTTTTGATTGCTTTTTTGCTGCTTTTGGTTCTTAGGTGAGACATCTGTATATTTGTGATTTTCACAAGAACTTCATTCAAAGTGTCCGAAACAAAAGAAAGAGGAAGACAAGTGATGATGGAGGTGACTCTCCTGAGCATGAAACAGATGTCCCAGAGGTTAGTAGGTGCCAGGTGGTTATAGAATGCTTTACCAATTTTGAGCAGGTTGAATTTTGACTTGGATGTTTTAATGTATTGGGAGATATTTAAATTTTAAACTACAACTCCACTGAAACTGCTATAGAGTTACTCTCATTTTTCAGGAAGAATTTTTTCTGATGTGTAATGTCCCGATTTTCTTCTTCATCCCTGTATGAGTTCTTTGCCTATGTGAAGTTTTCTATAAAAAGAGGTACGATAAGGTAACTGCACAGCTTCATGTATGTACTGCTTCGAAACAAAGCTGTTAAAACAGCGTTTGATACTGATTCTTTTTTAAAGGTAAAAATAAGTTATTTTCAGTGGTGACTGAGGCCTTGATATGGTTCTTTGTTACCTAGCATGCATCATTTTGCAAATACACTAGAGAATCTAATAGGTCAGTCTCCCTATGTTTGGATATATGATATCCAGTGATATTAAGCTTCTCCAGACCTTTGCATATGTGGTATTTTTGGCACTATTTAAAACTACCTTCAAATAATTTGTAACTTCTTTTTGTTTCCAGGAAATAGCCCTGTCTTGGTTTTGGCTTATTTTTGTTTTTTTCCTGTGTTACAGAATTCTAGAATAATCTCTTCTCTGTGCCGTTGTGTTCTGTGTTTGCTTTGGTGATGTTTCTGGTACTGTTGACACTGCAAAAAGTTGTGCAGAGGTGATGTTCGTGGAGGAGCTGAGCTCTGGCCACATCAGCAGAGCCCTCTGCTGGAAATGCCACCTGTATTGGCAAAAAGCATTTTATTTCGGGGCGGGGGGGGAAGCCACCAAGAATTGTTTTGTGTGTCTGGACTGCAAAGCTGTGTCCACACACCTGCTGTGTGGAGGTGTTGAAAGAGTAGCAAGTTTTTGTTTTGGTTTGGGTTTTTTTTTTAAGGATACCTGACCTTTTGTTTAGCTGTTCATGTTTCAATTTTACACGGTTCTCCATCAAAACTTTCTCATCCAGTCTTTACGTTGGTTGCCAGGATGACTGGTGAAGACCCAGCTGGCATCTAACAACGTTAGTGCTTGTAGAGCATGCAGGGTATTTGGTGGTTAAAAAGTGAGGGATGCACATCACCTATCTGAATAGGGAGCTCTGCAGTGTGTCAGCTTTAATGTCATTTTCTTTTTGATTTTCAGCAGAGATTCATTGTGTTTGAAACATGGCATTTTCTACATGATCTTCATCTTCCTTTCTGTAACCTCCCCCCATCACCCTTGCTTTTAAACAGTGCACTTCCCATTGAAGTATTTGAATTTCATTTCTTCTCTGTGTCTATACTCTGTCTTATGTCACAAGCCATTTGTTCAGTGCCTGCTAAATTGATGTTTCATGTGTGAGCTTTTCAAACCTTGTGGGAACAAAAGGTTCCCCTTTGCTTGGAGGTTGCAGAGCTGTAATTGAGAGCAGAAATTGGCCAGCAATTCTGTTGACAGCATGTGAACCAGAACAAAATTTTGTATTTCCATGAGGTTATTTTGGTCCTTTAGCATTAACAAATACAAAATATACTTAGATTTGTCAGTAAGGCAAGCCGATGTGGTTCTGAAGCAGGCAAGGAACAGTCCTGTTGAGGAAGAAATAGTTCCTTTTAGATAACTCTTATGTTTTAGATACCTCTACACTTCTGCCTGACAGAGCTACAGGCAGTGCTCATCCTCTCTTCTCTGCGTCACTTCCAGGTTGACTTGTTCCAGCTCCAAGTGAACACTCTCCGACGTTACAAGAGACATTATAAGTTGCAGACTAGGCCTGGACTCAACAAGGCTCAGCTAGCAGAAGTAAGTGATGACAGAAGTAGTATCGTCTCTGTTATTAAAAAAAACTTTTTGTCTCCTCTGCTGGCGTGCACGTTTCTTGGATGCTAATACCTGTAGCGAGTCTCGCTAGTATGTACTGTGTGCTCTGCAAAAGGTTTCATGGGATGGTGCCAACAGAAAGCTGCGTGTTTTCTTTCACCAGAGGCAGTCATGGAATACATGGAAGCTGGCTCTTGAAAGCATGTTTTAGTAACTTGCTTTTCTCTGCTTCCTTTCCCTCCTTGCTCATAGTCACAATCCATTACCTGCAGGGAGCAGAAGCAGGACCTAGTTTCGAGTGGCGTAGGTGTTACCTGAAGATGGCTGTGTAATGAAACTCAGACTTACACACTACTAGTCACCTTAAGTGCCCCTGCTAGTTTTTCTTTCCTCACAGGCACTTGAACTGGTTGGAACTGCTTATTATTAAAGGCAAAGTCACTGATCATGACTTCAGATTCCTTATTTCCCTCCCTTGTCTTGATGTCTTATGATTTGGTATTAAGTCAATACAAGGCCCTTTCCTCAAGGGCCTCTACTGCTGCTTTCTTACCATATGGGGGACTTGTTAAGAAAGAACTCTCTGTAACAGTTTGTTATTTGGGCTAGTTGTGCTTGGTGTGCATCTGCTCTGCTCTCTTTCCTGACTTGATCAGAAGGCATTCTGTGGGAAGAATCTTCTCTAAACTTGAAAAAACTGGAGCAGTTTTTTTTTTGGTAAAGAGGTTGTTTTTGTAAGCTGAGGCTTTCCCAACTGTCTGCCCAAAACTGTCTGTTTTGCTTTTGCTTTAAAGGGCAACAAACCACAGACCAAATATGACAGCAAGACACTGTCTTGCTGTCTTTCAAAGTCAGCTAGGGAAGGAATATAGAGAATGTGTAGTGTCATGCATGTAGGAATAAGGTGAACGAAGCAGAGCGGGTGTATGTCCTCATTAGTAGTTCTGATTTGTCATGTTCTAACTAACCATTCATAGTCTCTCAGCTACCTCCTGCCATGAAGGACTACTTACTTGGGCAATTTGCCATGAATGTGCCCAGGAGGAAAAAAAAAAAAAAAAATACTATGCAAGCGGAAAATAAAGGGAGCCTAACTTAAAGTTGTCACACACTTCCCAGATTTCCTGTGAAGTCTGAGCAGCTTTGACCCTACGCTGGATCCTCGTCCAGCTCCCATGCTTGAATCACTGCTGCCTGAGGCTCTTAGACTCCTGCTGCTACCCCACCGTAAGGAAAACTCAAACTTCCATAAATCTTCTTGGAGTGACTTATTGCTCAGCCTGCATCAACATCCAGTGCTGGAGCTGTGTTGGGTACCAGAAAATTGCTGCTTCCATATGAGAAGCAGATCTCATCCAGCTCCAACGTGTTTTCTACATTCGTTTTCTGAGGAAAAAGCATCTAATGGTTCAGGGCTTATGCTACTGTCAGAGAGGGGTAGCCCTAACCAAGTCCTAACTCTCCCATTGCAAATCCCCTGGTGTTCCATCCAGTGTGTTTTCCTTTGGACTCTAAAACTTTGCTACATCTGGTTCACATGGCAAAGTGTTTCAGTATTTCTCACACTCTCCTTTAAAATACTGAGATGCAGGGGAAACTTGCTCTCCGAATAATCTCGGCATGAAATGCCGCTTAGGGGAGGCTGTGCTGCTTTGGCAGGAGGACATTCTGGCTTCCAAATTCCGCTTGTAGGTTGGCTGCAAATACTGCTGATGTAGCAAGACTGTGCTATGTTCATACACACATTCCAGCTGTAGAGAGAGAGAGGTAAATGAGGACTGACAGTTTGAATTGGTGCATGTTTGACTAAAAGTATATTACACTCAGTGGCCAGAAAATCGGTTTTGGAAAGCGAAGAGAAACCCTGTTCTGATTATTTCTACTTTTTAATTTCAGAATTTCTGTCTCTTTACATGTTGTCCTTCTAGACTGTCAGTCGTCACTTCAGGAATATTCCTGTGAATGAGAAAGAGACGCTTGCGTATTTCATCTATATGGTGAAGAACAACAAGAGCAGGCTGGACCAGAAATCAGAAGGTAGCAAGCAACTAGAATGAAGCTTAACAAGACTTGGAATAAGGGAGACCTTGAAGGAACAGATGGTATTGTGCATTTTAGGTATATAAAAACTGTTGAAGTATATTGTAAATTTCTTTTTTTTTAAATGCAGTAAGTCTGGATGACAGAAAAGAATACAGACATTCTTATCGGGAGTATTTGAAAACATGTGCCCAGCATGTTTCAGAAGACTTCTTCCCCTCATTTCAAAGTCACATTGGAATAAAGAAATAAGGATAGTGGTGAACCCAAGTAAACCTGTAGGACTGTGGAGTTTGTCAACTCGGTGTTTTAAACCATTTCTGGAAATCTGCATCTCAGTGCAATTCAGATCACAGATGGAATTTTTTCACTGAATTTGGGCTGCATCACAAACCACCATGCAGTTTATCTTGGCGCAGGACTGGAATAGCGGCAGAGGTAAAATTCATTATTAAGGTGCATGGGTCAGAAGTTTCCCTGAAGTGTGGTCCCCACCTTCACATGCTGTCTTGTCTTGAGTCAGTGCTTCAAGTCCCAAACTTCTACAAATGCTCCAGCTCACCAAATCTACTGCAGTGAACGCTACTTGACTAGTCTGAAATTGATTTTTTTTTTTTTACCATTTTTTCCTCCTGCCCCCTTCCAAAATGGATGCCAAACAACTCTCTGCAATCTCTTTTTCTAATTTCTCTTATTTAAGAATTAATTGTCTGCAAGCATTTAAAAACTTTTGTATTTCCTCAGAATGTGCTATTAAGGCAAATACAGCTTATTTGCTGGGTTTGATCATGTTGGTAGAAATGCTCATTTCATTCACTTACGTGTATTTCTCTTGTATTCAAGGCTCAGTGATGGTAGGTGAAACAATGGCTTAAGACATCTGTCTCTTCATCTCTGTGTCAGATCAGGCATCAATCACAAGTGATGTGAATTTTATACTGAAGCTGGTCTTTAGCAGATGTCACAGAACTGCTATGTGGACTAGTGGACTCGGCAGCCTCTGAGTATAAAGCAGACTTATGCTGATGGGTGTAGCACCATAACCGGGGTAGGGAACTGACTGGAGCATAATGCATTTCATCTGTCTTTGCAACGGGCAAAAAGTATTGAAGCACTTGCCTTTTGTGTGCATTTGAGTGGAGAGTGGCGTGCTGGTGCTCTTTAACTGGGCACTGTAGGAGGAGATCACTCTGATTTCGTTATTTAAAGCCAAGGTGTCCTTACAAATAACACAGTGGTTATTTTGGCAAAAGGAGCTTATAAAAGTGTTGGTTGTGACTGACAGTTCTCTGGTGACCTCAAATTCTATTCAAGGGGATCTCATGATTTAAAGCACCACTCTGTTTCTTTGCTGTCCTAACCAATGTCTCCATTCTGTTACAAGATGCCAAGACTCCACATAGAGTATATTCTCAACAAGCCTTAATCAACGAACTGAACAGTAGAAAACTTGGGCTAACACTTTGTCAATGGCAGGTTCTAATATTCCAAAACTGGATGAAGCTTTGTTGAAGAGCTAAACATACAGATCACGATCACAGCTTAGTCCTGCGTCATGTTTCATAAGGCATGAAGGGTTCACATAGTGAAGTTGTTGTTGAAGCTCTCCAAGGGTCTCTTTAAAAATCAAGTCACAATTTAAACCAAGCTGTTCACATCAGCTCTGAAGCGTTTGCTAATACTCCAAAAACACGTTCAACAAACTTCAACATGTCTAAGTCCTGTGTCATAGGCAGAAATACTCTGTTATGGTACACATCCCACTTGTGAAGTTTTGGGGAGTATGATTGTTTCAGCATTTCGTTGTTCGATTCAGTATGGATTTTAAGAACATCAGCCAGGAAAGAAGTTCAAGGAATGAGGAGAGAATGTCTTGCGTCAGTATTTCATGAATGTTTTAAAATTTCCTAATTATGCTGGTCCTTTCCTTATTGAAAGGATGGAGTAATTCCCACATCAGTCAACATGATCTGGCTTCTCTCATTCAGGACAGATAGCTAAAACGGTACGTTCTCTGACTGCATGTTAATCTTCAAAGTGCTGGTGTAATCAGAGGATATTACCAAGGGAAAATGAGTTTCTGAGTTGAGAGGGTTATGCCTCATTGTAACTTCTAGACCAAAACTGTAAAAATGTAGTTTGTTTGGGGTTTACTTTGTTGTTGTATTTTTGTTTTGTTTTATTTCTGAGAGTAAATAAATCTGTTGGGGTGTTTTAGCAGCCAGCAGCAAAATGATTCTTTTCAAGGAAATATGGTGGCAGGTTCCATCTGTTCAGGTGTATTCACTGGAATGCTTTTGTGCAGAGGTGGTATCCAGGAAACTTTTTTTTTTCCTGAAAGTAGTCAATTGATGTGAAATGTGATCCTTGTTGGTTTCACTCTTAAAGAATTATACTTTTTTGAAAAAATTCTTAGTGAAGTGTGATGATGAAGGGATGTTTACCAGCCATTAGCAGTTGTTTATAAGGTGGAAAGCTTGGAGGCAAGACACCAAAGAAGCAGAAGAATCTTTGGCTGTCAGACCCCACGGCCTTATAAACCCTTGCAAATGCCTTATTACCTTGTTCTCAACTTAGCTAGAGCAAAACGCCTTGAGCAAAGGAAAGCCGATGTCTTGTTGGAAGGGTTAGCCGCTTTATGGCTCCCACGCTATAAACCGAAATCACACGTCAATTCAGTAGCAATATCCATGTTCAGGGTGCCTGTGATTCTTGAAAAGCATTTAGTGTCTAATAACCAGAAAACGCAACAATGCAATTGTCATTCTGTATAATACCATTCTGTGTATTTGATTCCTTATGCTGCATGCCAATTAAAAAAGACTTTCCAACGTTTTGTTTTAAACTTCAAAGTAAATGTGTTTGAACCTCACGCTTGTGAAGCCATGAGGTGGGACGTTTTCTCAGCACTTTTAGATGGGACTTGTTGGAAAGGTGGAAGACCCAAATCGCTTTGGCTGGTATGATAAGTTTATTTTTTTTCCTTTTACATTTTACTTTTCACAGATGGGCCTTAAATTCTGTCTAGCTTTGAACCATGGAGCACAAGCCTTGGGGGCATGGAGGATGACCAGATGTCATCTTCCATTTATAATAGTGGAAGCTTATTTCTTACAAGCCTACATAGGTGACATTCACCCTGGGGCAGAGTCGTCATCTTTGAAGCCCTCCAGCCATTATATAGCCTAACTCAATTGCATAGCCTAATTCAATTCTCATTGAAGAGTTGCATTAACTTCATTAGATTTCTGAATATATCCAAAGCCATTAGTATGAAATCCAAATAATGCAGGAACATCTCTTCCAGGATTAATTTCATCCTGTATGCTGACCCTCTGTTCACTTTAAGGGAAGAAGAAGAAATCATTGCTGGTAGTTATTGGCTTGAGTTCAACTGAAGGGAGTTGGAAGTATGCAAAGTCTTGAGTCAGTGGCAATCTGATGGCTGAAAAGTGCAAATATATCCAAGGAGGCTGTGTTAGAATGCAGGTGTGTTTTAAAATTTCTTCATCTCAAAGAATATTATATATCAACCTGAAGTAAACAATTGCATTAAAAGATAATGTTTCTTTTGCCAGGCACTTTAGAAGCTCAGCCTGAGAAAAGCAGAGCGAGCGGGTTTGTACCACTTGTCCCCAGTGCTCTAGTGTCTCAGTTTTCCTTAGGAATATGGCTGTAAACCACTAGATAGCCTGGAGTGGAAGGTTTGACCGAAACATACCAAGTCTGGCATTTAGAATTAGCCTTAAGTGTGAGATGGCTTCAGAGGGTCTTTGAAATCAAGAGCCAAAATAATCCACAGTAAGTGCGAGTTTTCAAGTGGGTCATGATGGCACAGAGAAGATGAAACAGGACATGGCCCACAGAGAGACTCAACAAAAGAACGCTATTCCACAGTTAGCAACGTGGAGGAAGACTTGTCCTGTGTTAGCTCTTGTAATGGGTGTTTTATGAAAGGGGAAGAAGGGGAGAGCTGTGCACTTTACGTCTTTTGGTTGAACCAAATGTAAATACCAATGGGAGATCTTCAGCAGTAACTGCAGATGGAGGAGAGAGAAATGGTCTGCTGGGAGACTGTTTATTTAAATTTGCAGATCGTTACACTTCCCCAGAGCACTAGAGTCACTTTGCCTCTACAGTTTAAAAGAGTGGGTAACACAAGCTAGCCTCCTGCACGGAGGGAGTCCTTGTACTGCCCAGAGTATTGACTGAAGAGTCCCAAAGGTGAAGGAATGTTATTGATGCCTCACTCCTCTTGTCACTGATGCCCTTTAGCCATCTCTAGCTTATCAAGTTAGGGAGTTTTCATTTTCCAGTTTCAAAGTGCAAATGAACTGTTACGATGTAAGATGCTCCTTGCACTTTTCACAGCTGTCCCTGGTCTCGCGTGTTTGACTTGCCTGTGAACACATCTGTCTGGAATGAATTAAATGGTTGAGGAAAGTGTAAGTGTAGGGAGAGGGGTTGGCTCTCCTGCCTTAAACCTGAACTTCCCTTGCAAGCAGCTCTGCAGGCCATCCTGTACATCAGTGGGCTCCAGGAGCCTCTCGCTTAGCCGAGCCCTAACAGGGCCAGGTTTACTCCTGTCCTAGCCACAACTCTGTTCCGCGGCTAGAGCACAGGGGAGGTGAGTAGCAGGTAACTTGCAGAATGGCTTGGAGTCTTTTAGCGGGCTTACTGGGAGAGAAAAACTGTGTTCCCTCTTCTGTTTCTGGCCTCCATGTGTTGTGCTGATTTATGCCAAATGTTTTGGACACCTTGTATTTTTAACTGTGTAATATAGCTGTGTATTGTTAAGGCAACTTAGTAACTTATAGCAAAAGCTGTAGAACTCCTTTCTCTGAGGTGTAGGAAATGTCCTGCTTCCACTGTGTATGAGACTTTAACTCTGTACTGTCTGACAAAGATAAAATGCTGAATTTCACTTTAATAAATGATCTATCTAGCAACACGGCCTACATTCCCTTCTGTTTCCCTTTCTGCCCTTGGCACTTTTGGCTCCAGAGCCAATGGAGTT